TATAAGATGGGAGCGAAAATAAGTGACTAACTCAGTGAAATAGAGTTCTTTTTGAGCTCAGCTAGCCAGTAGATTTCCCACCCTTTTGTGCAGTCTGAAAGTTCATTGAAGTGTTCACAAGAGCCTTCCACTTGATTCTGTTATGAGTCAGGTGAATCCAGTGCACATCCTCATACCCTGTTTCTCAAAGATTATTTTAATATTATAATCCCGCCTTCGCCTAGTTCTTCCGAATGGCCTGTTTTCTTCAGGTTTTCTGTCTAAAACTTTGTGTGCTTTCTTGCTACACGACCCACCTATCTCATTATCCTTACACTGATCACCTTATTAATAGGCTTACGTAGGCGGTTGAATGTTATACGGAATTTTGGTCATAGAGTGCCAATAAATCGTCTTATATATTAGGCAATTTTCTCTATTCCATTTCCGCATTACAGAATTTTTAGGAAGGGTTGGCAGCCGATGGGGTCACCGAAAAACAAATTCCGGATCAAATTTGAATCGCTGTTGTGTTTGGGGGAGAGTACAAATTATAACTAACCAATTAACTAACTATGATCTGAAACTTTCACGGTGACTAAGTATAGTGAATTCTTCTCGGACTACCAGCCGTGTAAGGTGGTTTAATGGAGAAAACACCATTAATTATAATTAACTAATTCCATGGATCAGATTCCTTCTTGAGAATTCAATAGTACACTCAGCTCATTCCCGCATTTCACGCAATCCGAAAGTTTATTACCGTGATAACAAAAGCCCGTCTCTGGTCACTATCCTGAGTCACAAGACTCCAGTCCACACCCTCTTACTCTGTTTTCCTAAGGTAAATTTTAATATTATTTTCCCGTCTACTCCTAGGTCTTCTGAGTGGCCTCTTTTCTTCAGGCGGAGTAGAGAAACAAGCGATGGAGTGAGTTTTTAAAATTGATGGCATTGCAAGTTCAAGCGAAATACATGTCGCAAAATCGCAGTCTCATAGCTCGATCTTCTTCTCTTACCGTCAGTCACTTGCCGTCCAGCTGGTGCCTGACAACGATATGAACGCATCACGCAGAGTGGCCGTTTCGGTATTGACTAACGAGCCTGTTCACCCTTAATGTGTTTTGCCTTCGTATTTTACTTGTACTTCGTCTCTCTTCGCCTCATTTGTTCACCAGAAAAGAGATAAAAAAAAAGCTTCGCATTAGGTTTCTGTGACATTCCCAGAAAATTATTGTTCTAGGTAAAATACTGGAACAGATGGATCAGTATACTACAACTTTCGGAAGCAAATAACTTGTTCAGACGTTTCATGGCCTCAATCCTTTCAGTTAGCCATTTGCCCAAATCAATTGAAGGTTTGGTGCATAAAGGATGTAGCTCCGTTCCTCTAACTGACCGCGTCAAAAACGACAAGAATCTACCTTTATGCACTAACGAGCCAGCCGAATCCAGAACATACCATTAAATTTTATAGGCTGGTTTAATACCACCATCCTCCATGTACACCTGGTTCTCTAAAATGAGAACCCTTTCTTCAGATTTTGCGACTAAGATTTTGTGTAATTTTATCGCCTTCCACTTTCGTTCCACATATCCTTCCACCTCCTAAGATTTTATCGTCGTAATAACATTTGATGAAGATTACAAATTATGAAGCTCCACGTCATGTAATGTTCTCCATCCTCGCGCTATTTACTGTAACTTAGATTCAAATATTCTCTGCAATCTTTTTTGCTCTTAAATGCCCTAAACCTATGTTCTCTCCGAGGGAGTGATGAAGACTGGACAGTTTATTAAAATTTGTAATTACACAGCGTTTTTAGATTTGTAGATTATTGAACTCGCATTAGTTTCCCTTCGTGCTAGTGCTTAACCTTAGCATCAGATATACCTGCCTCATGTTGCAGCCGAATGCTTCCTGGGAAAGAGCCACTGGCACTCATTAGATGGGAAGCTGTGTGGGCTCCAACAGCCAGTCTGGACGCGGTGGAGAGGACAAGAATCCCTGCCCCTTCTGGAATCTAACTCCAGTCACCCAGTTTGAAACTATTCGCTGTACAGACTGAGTTATCGTAATAAGAAACTCCTTCGCATAGTTTTGAGCTACAATATTTTTGCACCAAATTCTTTTAATTTATGGAAGTGTTGTTTCTGCCTAATGGTTTCAATGTAAGAATTAATGGTATAAGCAGCAAAGTGAGCGGTTTTGGGAGGTGCTGAGAACAGCGAAGAAAAGCCGTCTTCGACAGTTTGTGTTCCACAGTGTTTTTAATTACATTACACTGTCTATTGATCAATACAATTATTCTGACGTTTTCATGATTGTACACAACATATAAATTCTTTAAGTGCTCAGTTGCCATAATAACAGCAAAATATTCATAATGTAAAATACGACTTCATAAACCGTCGTTTATAATTTTAATTTAATTTTAAAAATGTAGAACTTATCTCTAGCTTTGCTGTAAATTGTCATATTTAGAGGAGAATTTATACGTTTATCTTCCATCCATTGCGCCAACATTTCCGAGATGATGTGAAGCATGTTTAAAGCGGAGAAATTGCCAGTCACATAGGCAAGAGTGGTCGTAGTCCTCCGAAACACTGGAATGGCGAGTTTGAATTCCGCTCGAGGCAGGGACGCATGTGTTTTTCTTTCGTACTCTTTTGTCCTTTGTAGGTATAGAAGCCCTGTGACGGGTCTAAACAGTTCTGTCATGTGTGTCATGGTTTATTGTTTCAAAATTAATTCTGACGTCGATATTAGAAACATTAATTTACCTTCTACTGGAACGTAATATTTACGTCCTTTTCTGCATCCACTTTCACGAACAAATAAGTTCTGATGCAGAATTAATTTTGAAATTGTGGAAACTTAGGCATTTGGCAGGAATCCTTGTACTGATCGTAGGCTCGTCTGTACTTAAACAGAGAAGTGCCGATATACGTCCATGTTCCACTGTATTCGAACGCTCCAAGGGTCCGAGCTGTCCAAGTCCTCTTCAGAGCGTATAATATTAAATGTAATGTTTGTGAATGGAACCTGCTTCAACAATACGAAGTTCAAGCGCAAAGTGACATAGTCCAATCAGAAATCAATATTAAACTGCGGAAAATATCCATTAACAGGAGAAGAGGTGTCGTTCCACTAATTCTGTGCTTCAGTTTCTGGGTAAAATGTCAGTTTTCGGAGAAGCAAGTATTTCAGAACTAGTTCTATAATCGATATAAATAAATAATGAAGGAAGGAAGCATGGTATATTGTTCACTCTCTGGGTTTCTTGATTTATTGATTCGGCAGTCAAATATTCAGCGTACTGAGTGACTTCCAAACCATATGAAATGCGCTACAAAATGAATCTTTGATTTACTATACGGTTAATTACTGAATACATAGCCCAATACTGTCTACGCGTTTGTCATTCGTCGTTCTCAACTCAAAAGTTCTCGTATCAGCCATGTTGCTGTTATCTATGGTAGGTTTACACAGGCGTTCTTTCCGTCCCGAACTCTTCTAGCTGTCACGGATAGGTTCGACGAAAACGTTGTGCACAACTTTGAATGTAATGCTTACACAGGCCTAGATACCAATAATGATGTGAAAATACCAAGTTAACACCACACGAAATTATATTTCTATGTTGTTGATTTTTTTCATAAGATAGTATAATTGCGTCATATTGTGAATCAAATATTAAATTAATTATTCGGTTTTGTCCGTCTAATCACAATTATATTTTAAAATTTACAAATAAGATAATTAAAATATCATTTTATGTTCCACATCCAAATGTAAATCGATTATTCGATGTGGAACATAAAGTGATATTTTAATTATCTTATTTGTAAATTTTAAAATATAATTGTGATTAGACGGACAAAACCGAATAATTAATTTGATTTTTTTTTTACTAAAATTGGCGTGGCCCCACAACTTTATCTTCGGACCTCTAACATTAAGTTTCAAAAATACTCATCAAGAAGTTGAAACATACGGATGGACGGACAGACACGATATATACGTTTAGTTTCTGAATGTTTTTTATATTACGGGTTAAGGAAATAGACAATTGTCGATATTCTTGTCACTGAATTAAATGTTGTCAGAAGATGCTTATTTTTCATGTCATACAAGACTTTTAAGGGGGTGGGTGGTCGAATTTGTAAACCACTCTCGAAATTTAAGTCCTCTTAGATTCGCAGCATGACTGTGATTTTTATTTGATAAACAAAATTCTAACGCCTTGCTGCCAAATTTGTCAGTTTTACAACACGATCAAGGATACTTCGCAGGTAAGAAATCAGGCCAAGTGATAGTATCTGTTATAAGACTTAGATCCCTAGAGCTCATTTTTCTGGTAACTGGTGGATATCAATTTTCTCAAAACTCAAAGATTAAATTTCTGTTTAAAATACGTCGTGGGTTACTATATGCTCTCTCTTGACCTCGAATTCCATTTCAGATTTAAATAATGTAATGCAAAATAATTATGTCTAAAGAGAGTGTTTAAGTAGTGTTTGTTTGGTTGTTGAATCATCTGTTAAATCAGTTGTTGCCCTCAAATAATGAAGTGTGCGTTGACCTGTAAGAAAAACAGCTCTTCTTATTACGCACAATGTTTAAGTGACGTCATTTTTAGTTTTTTTTTTCCTCTCTCCAGGGTGCAAAGAACCTACGAAAGTGATCACACTTCCTTAGGACCACAGCCGATTTGTTCATGATGCTGGAGCTGAAATGCGTTCCTGTCAATGTTCTTTCCACCGGTGTCTTGTAATTGCAATGTCTTTTCCCGTTCTTTTGTGTGGAAATGGAAAACGGTATACCCTTTTTCCCTGGCACCGGCGAAATAGTATAGGAATTAATAAAATGGTCACTGTCATCCTATAATCGTGAGCTGACTGGAAATCGCTGTGGGTGTTCCCAAGTAATTCTCCTCTATGTATGTACTAGCCAGGCGTGCAGACTCGAATGCTCAAGGACATTAGCCACGACATTCATGTGAGCTTTTCTTTTTCAGTGTGGGTGATGATGAAGAGAAAGAGAGACCCAGAGGTGCAAGGCTACATTCTTCAAGTCTGGTGAGTGAAACGTTTACTTTGCTTGTTTGTAACACATATATAATTCCAGATAATTATCTGTGACTGGGAGTTAAAGTTCAAGCAGGATGTAGTGGGAAGAGCATTTGGCACGCACTAGAGATTAGGAATTCGAAAATCTTAAAAAAAAATCTTAAGGGGACACTAGGGAGAATTAGGCTTAGGCGGGAGGATATTAAAATGATGCTTTGAGAAATAGGGTGAAGTGGTATTGACGGGGATGAAATGCTTCAGGATAGTTCGGATTATGGGCTTTTCTTTTATCGTTGTGATAACTCGGGGCATCCAAAAAAATTAGAACATTTCTTTACCAGAGGGATAATCATCACGTACTCAAAGAAGGGTTTTGAAGTTCTCACGGCAGTGAAAATGTCGAATGTGGTCTTCTGGGTTGTCACGCCGTGTAGTCTTGTAAGTGGTTACGAATGTTTCGGAGGAACATATCGTCTGATGATGGAGGCGGTACGTTCCTCCAAAACATTGACAACCGCCTAAAAACTACATTACGTCACAAACCAGAATGCCACAATCGACATACTTCTGCTAACTAATTCTATCATTGCTTTGCTTCTCGAAGGAGCGAAGTAGTTTGTATTTGCTGACGCGTTGGAATAAAAATCATCAGGAGTATTTTCCTCCCAATAGCAATTAATTGTTCTATACCCAGGTTTTATTCATTCAAAATGCATGGAGTTGAAGCATTACGAGGAGATCATGTGTGTCCTTCAGCGCGGCCGTATTCCTCACATAAAATATGACTGAACTCATTTCGGTGAATTTGGTATCAGGAATGAACGTTAAAGACTAATTTTGGTCCGTGTGGATCGTATTGTTAAATTGGAATGTCACCCGCAGTGGGATGATGAACTAGGGCAGACATCTCTGTCTGAAAAATGTGAAAGTTGCGTCAGGTATGTCAAGACGAAGTGGAAACTGATCCGTGCGACGTAGGGCAAATCTCTTCCTGGAGGTCTTCAGTGCTTTCTATACTGCATGTCCCTGAAAGAACGTTGCCGCGTGTATGGTTGTTTCTCACTCCCGCAAGGCAAGTTCTGGCATAGTATCTTAAAATAAATAAATCATCACATTCTTTTTAATTTGCAATTCAAAATGATCATAACGTTTTATACTGTACAACTATGCAGCTGGAAATGAGTCATGCAGAATGTCCCACCTAATTTTGCCACCGCAAATAATTTCCTCATTTTAAAATATACAAATACGTTTTACATAAAATATACACAGTGTCTAATGGTGTATACATTGAGCGATAAAATGTTAATTATGGGATAATTGTTATGAAGTTATCAAGGTTACCTCATTTTTTACATGGAACCCTTTTTATTTTGAAAGCTCTAATTACTGCGAGATTTGAGGCGAGTTCCCACAACACATTCATTTTTTGTGTACCGTTATTGAAATGTAACTACTCAAAGTATGAGAGACGAAAGTTCTGTTAGTATAACCTAGTACCAAAACTCCCGTTGGAAGGCTTCTGACGAAGATTAATCTATTTTCCATCTCATTCTCTAACTAGTGGCTCATTTGAAGATGTTTCCTTATTAAAATCCTGTATACATTTGTGGTATCCTTTTTCTAACTTCATGCATAACTCATCGTGACCTTACAAAAACAAAGTAGATACTAGTCTTAAAATTCCAATTTTTGTTACGTGCAGAGTCAGTTTCGATGGTTATATATTGTTGAAAGAGAACTTGTACGATTAGAATTAACTTTTCTGTGTGGCGAAGGAAACTTGCTAAGAAGTTCTTATCGACAGCTGTTTATTCTTGTTAAGAATTTAACCTGAGCACTTATTTATGCGAAGCAGAAGTGCTAACGACCATTCTAGTAGCTTGCTGTAGTGTCAACACTGTTATATACTGAAATAAAAGGAGAAGATGAATAAGAAGAATTGAGGACGAAGAAGGATGAGGAGAAAATATGGAAAGGAAATTTGAGGAACAGGAAAGGGGAACAAATTAAGTGAATGAGATGCAGAAAAGACGAAAAACACAGACAGAACTTGTGGGAGAGAAGGGGGTGAAGAAGAAGGGGAAATTCCATTATAAAAACTTATCAGCAGAGCCCCTGAGAACCCCGTACGAAACCCCAACGTTTCACGGAACACAGTTTTGGATTCCTTATGCTGAACCATTCCGTATATTCCCGTTTCACTCGTATGGTACTGGAACACTTCCCGATTTAAAACCACTAATCGTTAAACATTAGTAATTTAATTCGGGTTAGCTGGCCCAGGATGTGATGCATTCACGTTATCTGGGCATTACCATAACAGGTAGAGAGACCATAGCTGGAACTGTGTTTTTTTTAAATTGGTAACTAGCGGCGACTTTATCTGATTGACTTGAATCAGAAGCTGTATCACGTTCAAGCTGCCGGTAATAAATACCTGCCAATTTAGGACAGAACCGTCATTTATTACGGACTTTGGATAATGCAGGCATGAAGACATTTTCTTATCAATAAAAGTACGCATTGAATTGAACACGAAACACATAACTATATAAATCTAAAAATAAAAAAAAAACTGCTTAGCTAACCTCAGAAGGAAACTGACTAAATAAGACTGACAGGGGTTCGATTTCCAACAGAATCAGGGATTGTTGCTAAACACTATCCTCGGATGACATTAGTGCAGCAGTGACCTACGTCTCATGAAGGACATATTTTGAATGTGTCAGTGTCTTCCAAAGAGTACACATTTTAAATCTTGTTTATTATGGGACATCTTTAGCTTCATATAGCTCATGCCATCAAATATAAATTCATCTCTGTTCTAACAACGTTCAACCCAATTCGTTACACTATGAAAATTAAATGTTGCCCTTTTGTGTTGGATACTGTGAAAACTTTAGACCTCTACCATTAGACGAATTCCGCGTTCTGATCTTGCCCCACCACAACACAACTGCACCCTATCATGTATCACTCCAAAGCTGCCTTGTTTAGATCCTGTCTTCAAGCGTATTTAATGACGGACAGCGGTGACAGACGGGTGTAAGGCACGTCATTTCTTTAACTTTGTATTCTAATGGCGTATGAGATATTCCTCGACGGAAAGATGAGTTCCATTCATGTGAAAAGTCTCCGAATTTGTCTCCTTCCTGAGTCTCATCATCAATAGCTTCATGCTTTCACCGGATAGACTGGCTCAACGCTTGAACGCCTTCCTGACTTGAATTCAGGATATGCACGCTCAATGGTCTCAGCGGTTAATTTCACCTTGCGCTCATGAAAAATGCTTTCAGAGTTTTAATTATAGAAGCTGCAAGAACTAGACGTAGATTAAAGGATCAAATCTAAAACTTCTTGACGATGGTGAAGAGTCAATTGAATAAAAATTTCCTTGGATATTATCCATCGTCTAGTAAATATAAAACGTAAAACGACGTTTCGGAGATGGGACTCTATCTCCGTCTCAGGTTCCTACACAGTTGCTCTATCTAGTGGGCCCAACTGTGTAGGAACCTGAAAACGGAGATAGAGTCCCATCTCCGAAACGTCGTTTTACGTTTTATATTTACTAGACGATGGATAATATCCAAGGAAATTTTTATTCAGTAGATTAAAGGATGATGATGAAATTAATATTAAAGAAATGGGATAGAGGATGGGGATTACATTCATCTGGCTTATGATAGGGACCAATGGCGAGCTCTTGTGAAGACGGTCAAGAATTAACCTTCAGATATCACAGAAGGACAAAATTTTGTGACCAGCTGAGGGACAACTAGTTTCTCAAAAAAGAACTCTGTTCCATGTTAGTAATCGCTTACTATCTACACTGGCTTATTTGTGGATGGATGGACTCATTTTTTATGTTTCTCCCGTGATATTACGACGATCCAACTGCTACTCCAATGTATAGCTTAGAGTGAGAAACGGGAAGGCGATTATGAGCCGTGAATAAGGAGGGCTGTGGACCGGAGCGGTCATGGCACATATCAATTTATTTACATTGCATTGCATTTGTATGGAGTTCTGAGAAAGAAAAGACGAAGAAGGAAACCAAGACGACGAGGCCGACATCATTTCAAAGTCAAAATGGAAGCAGTGATAACTGTGACGCTGTGTCATCACCAGAAGTAGAACGCTCAAGCCATCTAGCGAGATGCAGCGTGTTTGTGGATATTCACTGACAGGCAGGCCACTCCTTTCTTCCACCCCACGACCTCACCCATCATCATCTTGCTGCAGCCTACATGCGTACAAGCCACCTCACATATTCATACACACGTGCGTACATGCAGTTCTGTCTGTGGAACAAGCCAGCCCCGATCCTGTCTGCCTCCGAGAAGTTTTGTAACGGTAGGTCGAGTCTCAACTCCTTCGGGGCAACAGAGACCGAATTATTCAGGAATACTGGTCAATGATAGACTCTCCTCAATGCAATGTTGCGTGGTTTTCCTCATTTATCTAAGCTAATGATGGCATCCCCAGTGCCAATAATGATTTGTATCTAGTTTTGCCAACCGTGGTACCTGGTTTTGTTCGTCCACGACTTTTAATTTTTGTGCAGATTGCCAAATCAAATTTTGAAACATAAACCAATAGGAAAAAGAAACAAAGGACACCCTTTAAAAATATTCCTGTGTGACTAAGGCCGGAACGGGTTACAAGGCTCAAAATCCTTGACAGCTAGATGATGATGATCTTGGCCAGCGCCCTTATTTGATTCCGTTTTCCATGTACATTTCTGTAACTATCCATAATAACGTTAATTTCATTTAAACATAGCTTACATATGTTTGCGTAGCACAAGAACTAATGGTTTTTAGGTGCGGTCGGAACCAAGATTTGCAAATATGCGCCTATTAGCTCCGCCTTATCTGTATGTAACAGCTCGAGAACCGCTGAATGGATTTTCACAAAATTTTAATTTTTTATATTGGATAGTTTTATTAAAAGTTGTCGACGCGTTTGAATTCTGATTTAAATCTGACGTGCGATATGCGTAA